TTTTCACGTACGCTTTTTTTTTTTTGTAATCGTAGATTCGAAATTATTGATACGGTTATTTGATTCGTACTGTAATGAAATATCACATCATAATAGTCTTCACCCTTTAAGAAGAGCCAAAAAATTCAGTAATCTGCGATGTGTTATTTGTTTGTTTTTATTAAAATTTACTTTGCATCTTCCTTAGCAAATTAAAAATAAATGGATACAAAATTTAAAGAATATGTTTGATTTTACTAATATTATATTTTAATGAATGGTTTTTTACATTTCCAAAAATAGGAAAATTTTGAAATGCTTCCGCTAATCTTAGACTTTCTTCTTCTTATTCGTATGTAATTCATAAGATGCAAATAAAAGTTTCTGTTCAGTTTTTTTTTTTTTTTTATTTTTAAATGATTGAAGCTATTTGACAGAATGGCCACCAATATACTTCATCTCTAGTCATTCCTATTCTCTCTAACGCTTCTGTGTCAACAATCATGAAATGCTAATTTTTTCCTTTTTTTCAATTATTTTCATCGCTTTGCATCGAAAGCATCCCCTTTTCATAATAGCAGCAGTAAATAAATATAAATGAGCATACAGCAAAGTACGATTTGGTTGAGGATATTCTCGTCTATCACAACAAATATATTTGATTAAAGAAAGATAAAATAAAGAATGCTATGAAATTAAAATTGATTAAATGATTCAATCGATCATATGAATCAAACTAATAGTTTTATGCTTATGTTATGAAGAAATGAGCTAATGTTAGCAAATCACTTTGTCATGTATCATTGGATATTAGGAACAAACCTGAATGATTCAAAAAGATTTATTTTTAATTGTCATTTTTGAGATAATTTTGCTATAATATAAATGCAACAAATTTTGAATAAATATTATGTTATATGCATTAATCTATGTTATTATTATTTATTTATTTTTTTTTGCTTCTATTTCTCTTTTTTTTTTAAAAAAAAAAAAGGAAAAAACTGCTTGAAAAATTTGTCTTAAAATTAATTATTATATATATAGCATATGCCACAATTTTGTGTTGCCAGCTGATTAATAACCATTGTCACATGAATTGAAGCAAACAGATATATCACAAACGTTGATAATAATCCAATTTTATTACCTTTTTGTACTGCTATATTATTTGTGTTATAAAAACAGCAAAAGAAATAAAATTATCCAAACATTCTGCAATAAATTTGGTACTTTACTTGAATTCGTATCTAGAAGGAAAGAACGATTGAAATGAGCAGATCGTCTCGAAAATATACTAAAAATAAACTTTCAAAATGTCCAATAAACTGAAGAAAACATTTTCCATCAATTGATTATATTTTAATGATTTTAACAACTAATGCCTTCTTTATAAACAAATCCTCAACTTTCAATGGGAGAAAAAATAAACACATTGTTTGGTACTGTAAAAGCCTGATACTGTCGTCTGGTACCGTAATTGGTCTAACACTGTTGTTCGATACTGTAGTGATTTGATAGAATAGGAGTTTAGCAATTATGTATTTTAGATTTACATTTTTCAATTTTAATTATAACTTAAAAAAAATTATGTATCGAATGATAATTTATTCTTATTTTACATTAAAAACGAGCTACTTCAATGAAGCTTGTTGGATTTGTAGAACTAAATTGAAGGAAGTTGAATGACCTTCCAATTTCAAATTCTCTATGATGAAGTGTAATCGTAGGAAGTGACGTAAATCATAAAGTAAACAATTTAAACCTTTTTCATTCCTTTAGATTTGCGTAACAGAAAGATATTTAAACATATAAAATCGGGAAAGTTGCAAAACAAAGAAAAAATCACCAGCAATGATTTATTTCTTAGAAATGTATATTTTCTCGTTAGGAATATATTTAAAAAATATATATGTATGCTTGATAAACAAATTATCGTTTGGTTGTTTTAATGAACTAAAATTTTATTGAGTTCAATAAAAAGCATCATTATTGGTTATACTTTGAGAAACTTTACTCGTCCAATTTCATTAGAAAAAAAAAAAAAAAAAAGAAAGAAATTGGAAAAAATAGCAGAAGGAAAAACATCAGCTGATAATCTTTCAATAATGTTTATATGAATACCGCCTTTCACAACTGCACATATAAAACTTTTGTTTCATATATGAAACAGCTGACTTTTTATGTAAGTAAACATTTTTAATATTAATATTAAAAAAAATCGTTTGCCTTGTTAATAATAATGGTTCCTTGGTGTATCATCGTTACAATCGAAAGTTCATACTTTTCTGCAATTTCTTTATAACATCTGAACGAGTTTCAAAAAAAAAAAAAAATTAAATTAAATACTGCTAATTTTCATTCAAACAAATTTAGACTCAATTTTCTTTTTTTTTTTTTTTTTTTTTTTTACTAAAGACCACATGAAAGTTTTGCTAATGAAAAATTTATGCAAAATTATTTATTTAACTTTCTTTTGCCGTGAAAGAAATTGCACTATGAATTTTTGCTGGACATCGTTAAAACTTTGCATCGAAAAGAGCCAAAAATATTATTTATTTCCTTATTTATTCATGGCGAAAATAGAAAGATGACCAATCCAAGTGATATTTTATGATTAAAAATAAACAATCTTAAGCAGGCAAAATTTAGCTACAAATAATCCAAATTTCATAAATCAACCAGGCTTCTATTTTTGAATACTAAAAAGTCTCAGAACATCTACAACATACACTCTCTTTCTTCTTTTTGATCAATAAAATAAGAAAGTACTAAGATTACTCAATTTTTGGCCACACAATAAATTTTTGCCCTATTTCGTCCACCATTAGATTTATTATGTCAAACTGTTGGACAAATCAATACGCATTCTGCCTGATCGGTACTGTTTGATAGCTTATAACCCAATTTAACATTACATCGACATCTACTGCACAGTAGTCCATCACATCTGATGACATTTTCATTGAATTGTTTCGATTTCGATTCTTCTCTCTTATTTGAGTTGGAAATGGTAGATGGACAAATTGGAACTGAATGCTTCTCATTGCGTCCCAGACGAACCAGCACTTCCGAATGTTTGCATTGCACTATAAAAAATTGAAATTAATATTGACTATGTCAAAATTGAGAATTAAATATTGAAAATTAATCAGAAAATATACAGCAAATTTGATATTTAGGTTCTACTCTTAAGAAGACCATTATTCAATAAATCTAAAAATAATTTGAATAAAATTCATTTATATCAAAAGCCATTTTAGATGTTATGCTTGTAACTGACTCTTTCTTTTCCAATTAAAAATATTTGGCTGAAACAGTGAAATATCACAGATAACATGAAATGTTGATCTAGAATTTCTAATCTATAAGTATTATATGTCTAAATTCACATAGATTACATTCTATTTAGACTTTTGGTATGATGATATGATCTAATTTTACTTATTTTGGATTTGTTAATATTAGATGTGGATAGATTCGGAATTAGTTTGTTTGACGGCTTGTATAATCATTTTATATACCTGTTAAATAACATTTGGAATGTATGTATCTTTAACAATTTTCCGTTTCGTTATTATATTAATTTTAATTTTATTATAATAAATATGGGTTTCCAGAAAACATTAAAAAAAAAATTGCAAAAAAATGAAAAACAAAAAACTCAAATATTGATTTTATTCATGTATTATCAGAAAACGATGAATTATTTACTAGTTCAAATATTCAAATGTCATACCTTTTGCAAAACATTTCTCCATATATATTAAATAGAAAACACCAAGAATCTGTAATGAAATATTTTATTTGAGGAAAAATTGAAATTTTTCATACTACAGGAAAATTTATACCGATCTTAATTCTAGAACTGCAATTTTAAAATGAAAATCAACAATGAATTGAGAGAAAAAAAGATAAAATGCAAAAAAATTTTCACTTATTTTTACGTAAAATTTCACGCTACCGCGTATTTTCCTACTTTCCTACTAAAAATGCAAATCAATACTCACCGTAATAATTGCTTTTTTTCCCATATTTATTCAAATTGAAACAATTGCCCAATTAGAAAATGTGAAAAACGTACGAGTAGCAACCAAGAATTATGAAATATTAATACCATATGAAGTATTTTCTTTCTTTTTTTTTTTTTTTTAGAAAACCGAAAAGGACGCTAAAAAATATTTTCGATATATTAAATGATTGCATCTCGCATACTAATATCTTTTCCCTACTTAAATTCAGAGTGCATTTAAAAAACAGATACAGAGATTGTGAAGAAGAGCCGTACTCATAAAAAAAGAATCAAGTTTCTTCCTTAAATTTCACTATGATAAAAAATCAATAGGAATGATTACATATTGCCATCTGCATCGATTAGAATTAAAACAATCGAATCTCTTCGCATGTATAAGCACAGATTAATGTGTGAACTCTTTGTTCTGTGAGAATCTTTTTCATTTTTACTCTTACAAACTAAACATCTCTGTTTCCAAATATTTTACATTCATTATTTTCAACGATTAAATTAGATGCAAAACTGCTTTACACACACACACACACACACACACACACACACACACACACTGAAAGAAGCATATTTCACTGTTTGATAATTTATTTGGAAAAGAAACAACAAAAATATGAGTCATCTGTCTATCTAAACAATATGGACAGTTCCAGTTAATAGACCTATTCCAAGAAATCTAAGGATTGGATCGAAATACTGAGATGGGATGAAATGCAGACAAATTAGTGGAGTGTTTTATTCGTTTATCTTTTGTATACATACCCTTGGAAATTTAACGAAGTAACAAATTATTAGAAACAAATCAAAAATTAAAGGAAGACTTATTCATGCGTAAAGAAAAGACAAAAAAGGAGAAAGCAACAATATGATAGTTTAAAGTGTCAGGAAAAATAACGAAACTTAATTTCTGTTATCAAAGATTTGATCCATTTTGAGAGTGGATAAAATTACATTATTGTGGGTGTGGTTATCAGATTAAAATTATAAAATCGTAAAATTAGACAATCATTTTAATTTTTTTGAAATAAAGACTTAAATTAGCAAATCGAGTCTTTTGCAGTTGTGGCAGATTACTGGTAAGAAGAGCAACACTATGACCGTCACACATTGAGAAAATCCGAAACAAAGCAAGTGATAAGCATTCGGCATCTTCCAGACATTCCGAAATAATAAAGGGTGCCACCTGAAATGATAACAATCGATTAGCTCCAAGTAATAAGAAATAAATAATAAATACACATACAATATACCATAACTTTTGTATTACATTTACAATCTGCACCAAAATTTTACATAAATAAGTGCGCAAATGTTCCTCAAAACTGATCCACTTCCCAGTAAATTTCTCTTATTAAACATTAATTCTTTAGTTCAAAGACAATGCAAATTTCGACAAATGCGTTTTCCTTTATTAATAGATATTTCGAGTTGGGAATATCATATTTTGGATTTGGTATCTTAAAATATTAAAAATGATAGAGTCTCATTAAACAAAGGGAGAGCAAAAGAAGACAAAAGAAGAGATATGGGAAAGAAGGAAAAGGAAAAAAAATAAACTTTCTGCTTTAATCCATTTCACTAATAGCAAAAATCAGCATATATTTGATAAACACGATCATATGCTTCCTATTTCTTTTTATTCATCTAATCATATAATTTCTCTTTCTTCCTATCCCTTTTTTTCTTTTATATGGAATTGCTGAAATTTGGTTATTTAGAAGTGTCAGATTTTTTTTTGAAGTTTTTTGTTGGTGATTTTCGTCATCATTCAATCTGAATTTTTTTCAAAGTTTGTTATTTCTTTTCCTTCTTTCTGTATTTTGGATTTGTGGATTAATTTTTCCTTTGTTTAGTCCTTGAGCTAGTGTCCTCTAATATGAAGCAAATGAAAGAAGAGAGAGAGAGGAAGTGTTTACGAGACATTGTTCCACTAATTCTTTCACCCTAGTAAAAGTAAAAAAAAAAAAAAAAAACTGAAGAATCCAACTCTTGAACACTGGTAAATATGATAAGGTGATATACTGTGTTGATGGTAATAATTTTCCTCTTTTACTTTCTCACATTTTTCCTTCCTTCCTTTTCTTTTACTTTCTCCCATTTTCTTTTCCTCATTGTAAAATTTTTTTCTATTATCTAATTGTTTTTCATCATTTTCTTTTCACGAAAAATAATACAGTGAATTCTGGTTTTAGATCTCCATTTAAATGCTACCATCTAAAAACAAGGAAAAAAAGAAAGTCATTTTTCACATAGGCCACTAAGAAAAATTTTTTGCTGCAACGAAAAAAAAACAAATACTAAGAAATACAATGAGAAAACACAAGTATTTCATGGGTAATGATAGAAAAAAAACTTACCCGGGAAAACGATCGTTCATATTTTACCATTTCGCCAGCAACTTTAGCAAATCCATAAGAAAGGTAACGAGTAAACTGAGGATTGGTTGTCTGTGTATCATTTATATATTTCTGAATAGCTTGTCCAACACATACAAACAAGTTTATGTACAACGAGCACTGATCATTAATCACAGAATGAGCACCAAATCGTAGACAATTCTGAAAAGCAAAAAATTTTATTAAACGCATATATTCCAATTATGAAAATCAATGTCGACTTCATTTCTATTAAAAATCTGAGGTTTTCTTTATTTTCCGACGAACTACTTTTTTTACATTAAACTAATATTGAGCTACTTTTTATTTTCCAATTGGAATCAGGTCTTTACTGCGACAAAAGGATGCATTATTATTATTATCCTGCAAGCACTTCTCAGGGTTATGTCATTCCTTACTATCTTCATTTTTAATATAAACTTTCCAGGGGTCTATAATTCGCAATGCAATCACAGTGATTTAAATATCAGTTTTCTGCATAACTTTCTATAAAGTAAATCTTCGTATTTTCTTAAATTTGTTATCCTTCATATTCCAACTCTCTATTAAACAGAAGATACGGGCACTGGAAGTGCGTCTTCGATCTTATTATATTCTTTTTCTTTACAAAATTCTCTATATACTGTAAGATTTGTATTTTACAGAAGATTTAAAATTCAATCACTGGAATTTATTTTTGATTGTAAGATCTGACTTATTGTCATGGAAAAATAAAAACGCCAATACGATACATAATTCAATAGGTATCAAACGTTTAATATAAGCTAAGAAAATATTTCATCCCAATGAATATATACGGTTAACTACACAATTAATTATAATGCTTACCAGAAGAAGAGAAAGAGTTTTGCGTAGCGCTACAAAATTTGAGGATAACAATTCACAGTTCACTGCAAGAACTGCTAAAGCAAATGATACAAAATCTCTCTCATATGCACTACCAGTGGCGACCTAGAAAGTGTTAGAAGTTCAAACTATTAATTAAATTCATACAATCTGTTGCATATAACAGATAGGACAAATAATGAAATTACATGAAAAGTAGATGAGATTGATATTAACCCATTTATAGTCGAGCATTTGATCAAATCAGAATAAATTTGATAAACTACATCATTTGGATCACATAAAAAAGTAAGCAGAGAGGGAGATAGTAAAGTGTAGCAGCCTGTAAAAAAACCTACCGGAAGAATATGCCTCAGAAAATCAATAGCTGTCAGATAGTCTCTTCCAGCAATATCTACTACTATTTCCAGTACATCTTTAAGTACAGCAAATAATAGTTTTCTCTTTTCTTCATTTTGATGTTTTGCCAATGCAAAATATAATGCAAATTTTTTCGATGCTTGAAGATCGTGCGAAGATGAGTGTAGCAAATTTTTCAACTAAAATAAATAATTATTAGACAGCTTAGAACATTGTTATTGACTGGGGTATGCTGAACTGATAAAGAACCAAACTCTGATACTACACAAAGTTTGCTTTAACAGTTCGTTCAACGAATTAATATCATAAGACAGTTAATGGAATAGAGAATAATACTAACCATTTCCACCGATGCAATACTGATAATTTCGTTAATATTGGATTCATCATAGAATTCGAAATATTTAACATATTTCCAGGAAATGATATGCTCGAGTTTACCTCTTTTTACCATCCATAAAATGGATCTTTTCAGCAACTGTGACATCTGCTCAGATATTATTCCAAGCTCTATCAGTCTATCTGGGTGTTTACAAACAGCTTTGCATAGCTGAAATTGATTTATAGTTTGCTTGTATCTAAAGTCGTAACATAAGACAATTTCTTTCAACAAATTTTTTTTCTCAAATTTTTTATTGATTTTTCTCAGATTTTTTATTGCTAGTATGAAAGTAGAATTGCTAACTTCTGAGAAATTATCAAACAAATCAATATTCTAATTAAATTAGTGAGAGCTTCAGCATTACAAGTTCTATGAAAAAGTATAATAATAGAATGTATTCTCACTTTACCTAGTAAGAACTTAATTTTTGTCTCGATTTTTTTGTCTAATTTAAAATTTTCACTAAATTCGGTACTAAATAAAAAAAAAAAAAATCTTACTTGGTCGGCATTTGTGACATGTTCTGCTATATTTTCAATCTCTTCTTCAGTTATTGTCGTATCATTATCTTGCAAAGTTTTCACAACTGATAACATTGATAAGGATAATTCAAAAAGAGATAATTTTATTGCATCCGTGCAATCGAGAGGAGAGACCAATCCATAAACATGTTGGAAAATCTACGAAAAAAATAAAATGGTAGCAACAAAGTCAAACTGTAATGAATTAAGCATAGTTCGCGAAGATTTTGCCGGTTTTCTGTGAAAAATATTCCATATAATAAAGAAATCAAAAACAGTCTCTCTGAGATATATATTTATTAAAAAGATTTAAACTTTTGTGTAAGATTACCTCTTCGGCAGAAATTCTTAATGCACTGTTTTCTCCTGCATTCATTTCGCAATGAATTTCATCAAACGTATCACATAGAGGTTTTAAAAAGTAGTATTCCTCTTCAATTAAAGGTCTTTGTACCGCAGCTTTCAATATAGCGTCAGACTACAAAATTATTTCCCACAAATGCTTACTATATTTCATTAATCATAATTCAATTAGCAAACACTATGCTATATCGTTTCAAAATTACTTTTTTGGTATTGGAGAACTGCAACGTTCCAAAGATATCCAACTACCTGTTGTTAGATAACTTTGAGATTTATTAGGAATTTAAATAAATAACAAACACGAGCTTATATAGAGTTTACTAAAAACGAAAAAAGAAAACCTTGACAGCAAGCATATCACGACTGCAACCACTAAGCAAGAATTCTTTAACTAGGATTTGCGTGCTTTTTGAGTAATTATTCGAGCAACCACATCGAAGTAAAATCTTGATATATTTTTTTAGTACTTTTTCTTTAAAGCTGTTTATTAGAACGCGAAATAATTTCGTATCCGATCTATAAAATGATAGCTGATGGACTAGGACAGTGATGTTTTTTAAAAACAATAATGTTTTAAGAAAAAATTTTTCATAAAAACTATAACTTCTGAAAAATATAGCAAGAAAACATTGGAGTAGTAAACTATACTTCATGCATTGCTCAACTCAGACACGAACTTTTCTTAGAATAAATCCCAAAACTAACCTCATTATCGACAGAGTACTTTCAATCGCAATTTCAAACAATTCCGATGATATGCAAGGAATCAACGAGATCAAAACACAAAATAATGCCACTCGCAATGAAACCGGTAGAGATTTTAACGAATATCCTCTTCCACAAATTGACTGAACAATTTGGCAAAATCTTTTATCAGATAACAAAATATGATGTGAAGGCGGAACGAATGAAGACATTATTATTTTCCAAGAACTGCAATAATATAATTCTTATGTAAATGTTATTCATTAAAAATAATTCGTACAAAAAAGAAGTATCTCAAAAATTCTGAACTTTTTTATAAGCTATATTGATATCCATATTGTCCTCCACCCAATTTTCTAAAAAATGGGAATTTATTAATAAGTTTACTTTCCCTTTTATAAATTTGCATTTATTTCGACAACTATATGAGGATGCAAAAGGAATATACATATGCATCCCATCCTTAAAGTGAGAAAAAACGAAATCATCAAGTCCCAGACTTGAAATTAAATAGACCCTAATAATGAATCAAAATGACCAGTTGATACTTTCAGATTTGGCATGAAATTGGCAAAATATCAAAAGGACAGAAAACTTACTTTAATTCATCTTCATAGCTCTTATTTGATATGGACAATATTCCTATAACATTTTCTCTGATCCAAATTCCAACATTTCCTTTTTGCTGCGCAAAATTTCCATCTGTTAACAATGATAAATTCAACAGCAAACACCGAAAAAAAGGCTGTACTACTTTGGAAGCATAGGCATCAGTTAATCTCGAATGACGAAATATCGATTGGATCAGCAAATACAGCTAAAAGCATACTTACTTGAAAAAGCAATAAATTACTTTGGCAATCATCAAGATGAGCTAATAATGCTAAATTACAACATTATTGAAATTTTTAAATCAACTTTAAAAATAAACGATCAATATGATTTTTTTTTTTTTGATTAAAAAATAAAGTCAATGTCTCAGAACATACAAAGATTTCTAATTACTAAATGCTTTCTAAACATAAACGTTCCAAAATTTTTTGAAAAATTACGTCATTGTTCTCCAGATGGAAGGAAATCAGAATATTTAATAACATTTCGCTTTGGCTCGGTTGGCAGTGTGACAGAAGTATGCCCAAGTTCGCTTTCAACAATATCAGAAACTAAAAAAGAAAAAGTTTAATCGGAAACCACTAATATCGACATATCTTCATAGACAGACAAAAATCGTGGTTTATAATTAAAATAAAAAAAAAAAATAGACTGCAAAAACGAATGTTATTTGATATTGTCTGATAAAAGATACCTGCTTTCGGGTGCTAAGTGAAAGATCATCATTTTCTTTAAAATTACTCAAAGAATTTTCTAAACATTGCATATGTTGCGTGCAGTCGAAATCCAACGAACTCATAACCAAAACAGTACATAAATTGAAGTGAGCTGATTTCATACATACCTGATGAAAAAAATGAAATAACTTGCCAGCATGAGTAGTAAAATGATATGAACTAAATTCTGCAAATAATCAATAAAGTGAAAGAAATAGCAGTGGTTAAAATGGAAAAGTCTGAATACAGATTGCAAAATTCTTATAAAATGCTTAATGAAGACATAGTCAATTCCAGGATATATGAATAATAAGTTATATAAAATGATAAAATAGGGTAGTTAATTGATGAACGAACTAGATTTAGGGCATCTGCGCAAAACTATGATTTTACAAATTTAAAACATTCTTAGAAAAACCAATTTTTTTTTTTTGTTGTCAGAAACCTGAATAATATCCATCAAGGACATTCAAAGGAAATATAACAAACTTCTGGAAGTAATAATTTATTCCAAACACTTCGAAGAGTTTCTCGATCGTATTCGTCAGAATAAGCGGCTAGAAGAGCGACTGAGTAGAAGATTACTTCCGCAACAACAGAAGCTATGGAATATTGTTTCATGAGACAAAGATGGCAATAAGTTTGCGGAAGAATTTCATGAAGCAATAACTGGAGTTGTTTATTTTGCAATAAATCTGTACAACATATAAGATGTTTCAGTAGAAAACAGTGGTTTCTGAAAATAAAAAACATAAGAAGTTACTTCGATAACTTTTTTCTATTTTTTTTTTTTAAATATGTTAGTTTCCTTCGCAGTCAAGTTGTCATAAGTGGTACTAGGAAAAGAGGCAAAGCCATCTTTGCGTTTCATTTAAATTTTATTCAACCTTATTGAAAATAATCTTAACATAACCTCAACCACCCAATAAAATCAATTGACAAGTAGACAAGGTTTCCAATTCGCACGAAATTAAAGCTATACAGAAACATGAAAACATACTAAATTCTTAAAAATATCAAACCTTATTCCTGAAGTGTTTTTCATGAGAAAATCAATCCATTTTTTAGCATAACTGCAAACAGTTGAAAAACTCATAACGACGAATTCTTTTCGTAAATATGTCAGAAATACTTCATTCATTTCAAAATCTGGGCACTCCACTGACAGATCCGAAACTGCTTGTAAACAAAGATCTATCTGACCATTAGCGAATATTCTTAAAAGTTGTTCTGAAATGAATTAAGTTTTGAATTAAATATCATCGCTTTCATAAATTTAGAATTCGAACTCGTGTGAATTTATTCATGCGTCAAACTTGAATGGTATATCACTATAAAATATTTAAGAAGCAGAAAAATATAAAACTTGCGTGGAAGCGTACTACTCTCATTCTTCAGTATGCTGCATATTTCTTGTTTATTATGCAGTCTTGCCTAAAGAATGAGAAATGTTAGAGAAATCAAAAACAACATCTACAAAAAATCAGAGAACAAGCAAAATAAAATTTCAATATCCTTGAGAAAAAAAATTAATTAAAAATTCAAAATATGTGATTTCGCTGCTATGGTCTTTCTGACGTATTTCCAAATCAGCCATAATGCTACCTCTTGGTCAAGTTAATTAAAGTGAGCTAGCTTCCAATTATGTATTCTTGCTTTGTTATCTGAGTCAGATTTCAGAAAGTTTCTTTTTTTTCTTAAAATATAATAAATTACATCAATTTTCTTCGATGTTTTCCATCTGGTTTTCGACTTCCCTCCATTCAGCGCCATCGACTTCGAGTGGTTCTTGCAGTCTAACATTATTGTTACGATTAGGACGCAAAAGATTACGCGAAGTGGATAAAAAATTCAATGCCTCCTGATATATTCGCTTCCGCCGGATGTAAAAATAGATGTCAAACTAAACAAACTATAATTAAAACAATTTAAAAAAAACTTTAACAGTGTACTTTAAACATCATCTGTTACAATAAATACAATTTATTGATTTATAGATCATAAGACATGCATTGAACACAAACTAATTTAATGAAATATAACATAAATGTATGAGAACACCTATGAATTAAGCCAAAGCATTCCATAAGATATGTAGATGAAAACAAATATGCAGATGTATAGTTAGCTTTCCACTCATATTTTCTATTTATATAGGTTTATTTTAAGCAAATAAAATAAACTTATACATATCGAAATATAAATTCAAAACAGAAAAGGCTAACCTTTACAAGCTTTGGGACAGGAAGCCAATACAAAGCGTACTGCTGTTTGTGAAATAGTTCTCCGATATGCTCAACAGCTGCTTCAAACAACGTAGGCACTATAAAAATATATCAGGAAAAATACAAAAACAATAGTTTCGAAAAGCAAAAATAGCTATTCCAAATAAAATAATTTTCTTCATTAACGTTTGAATTTTACACCATAAAAAAATCAGTATTTCTGTATCCAAATGAATGAAGACATATACATCAAATTTTCCTTTCATTTATGTAATGTTAAATTGTGTTGAAGCTTTCAATTTCTCTGTAATTCTGCCAATTTCATCAAATTTGGAATATTATTACTAAATTAATTGCAAAGTCACTAAGAACATTATAGGAAGTGTAAAAACCTTTTTGAGTGATGAAAACAATTCCTGTATGATAGAGACGCTTAGTGATAGCAAAAACTTCAGTACGATCAGGTAAAAACTGTGCAGTTGCACCGTTTCGTATAAATCGTGCTACCCAATAATGTCCTGCAGTACGGAACAGTGTAATTAACTAGAGTGCGAATTTAATTTCCAATCCTACTTAAAAAATTTGAACAGTTCAAAATTAAAACAGATTTAGGTATTGTGATAAAATGCGTCCAAATTGCCAGCAGTTAAAGTACTAATACAAAATCACAAAAACTATCTTTACAGCAGAATTTGCTTAAAGTATATGAAGTTAGAAAAAGATACTTACCAATAAATGTGGTTAATTTCACTACTTCACGTGAGTTGAGCTTCAAATAATAAACTAAATTACCCTAAAAAAAAAAAAGAACTGCAGATTGAAAATTCTAGCGATTACTCCTATCTGCATCTTAATCTTTAATATAAATCAGTGTAAATCAAACTTAACGAAGGAGTTCGATGATAACTGATATTATTGTTATTGTGGTCAGAATATCTCACCTTGATAAGACATAAAATAACCCAAATTATAAACAGTAAATAAGCTAACACAAGCAGCTATTTGAATTTCAATGTGTTCATGTAATAAAGTATTACATACACAACACTTACTTGGAAATCAATCCAGCAAAGATCAACAGTATCGTTAGAATTATTGATAAATCGAATGCTCACTTCCTCAACGCTCCTAACAGACCTATATCCGGGATTGAAAATCTTTCCCACAATAAACGAGTCAACCCGAAATTCACTTGACATCTACTACGGCAACTCAACAATAATACACTCACTCCTGAAGTTAAATTCCTCAGTTAACTCCCCACAACATTGGACAAAATTGCTAAATGAAACCAAACCATGCGAACTTTTAGGACCACAACCACCTGCACATCACGGTCCAGTAACATACTCCATCACTAACCTTGTTAACCAGGTAGCACTGAAGGATTTCATCAACTTCGAGTTAACTACTAGTCTTATGACAGAAAAAAACAAGCCAATTACTACGGAAAATCAAATTATATCGATCATCAACACCTTCCCACATGAAACGTGCATCAAAATTTACTCGAAACCAACTTTGCGCCCGTCCAAAACGATAATTATTGTATGAAGTCTTGGAAAACGAAATGGTTTACAGAACCAATTTGGGAAGAATATTCATTGCCAACATATTTATCCAGCATATTTTCATACAATTACTAAAAAGTGAACATAAAACAACAAGCAAGAAGGGAATGCGGCCGATGCCAATCAAAAATCATTGTTTTTCTTCAATGAGTGCCTCCTTCACAAGCATCAAATAGGGCACCTCACCTTCTTCTTCATCTCGATATTCTACTACAGCTACTTGTCCCTCACCTTGACCTTCGGCCATACGCTCGCCTAGAAAATACAATTTATTCAAATCTTGTTTGTTAAGCATGTTAGAATTCAACAAGCCGACCGAAAGAAAATTGATAAGAGCGTATAAATCTAAGCTTTATTTTTCTAAATGTTTGAAATCAATTTTGCTTTAACAAATTAAACGTTGTACAGAATCAGACAACAAATATCATACCGATGAAGAACTGCAACTGTTTAAATCGGTCCTTGCTCAGAAGTGATACAACCCAAGCTTGAATCTTCCGCTTAAATTCGCTAATTTCTGCTTCCGACTTGCCATTTTTTTGCATTAGTTCAACTACTTTTTTCATAAATGATTTGCAGTACGACTTGAAGGTAGCCAAATCCTCATAACAATTCATTTCCTGCAGAAATCTGAATAACCTAAGAAAACTAAATAGTTCTTGAAACAGTAAAATTAACTTTGAAATCCATATCAGCATGAACATTCCAAACCTATAGAATTTTAAACCGATACATGAAATGCAGTTATATGAGTAGTACTAAAACATTACTTGTAGCCGATGGTTGAGCACAAAATCGATACCCCGTTCAACACATTCTTCGCTACCTTCATCACCATCTTCACCTTCAGCTGAAGGATTTGCACCAGCAAGCTGAATTTCTCCTTCCCTCCTTACTACTTGCCGTCCTTTGAACTCCCAAATCAATCCATCCACTAACTTCATTGGGAACGAGTCCGACGCAAGCTCGTCATCTAAATACAAGTATTCAATTGAACATTTATTATGAATCATTTTATAATTTTATCACTGAGAAACGCAAATTCACATTCCAAAACCAGATATATAAATCTGTTTCACATCGATAGTATGGAAATTGCAGTTTGGACATACAACTTACTAACTCATACGACAAAAACGCCTTTCATCAGTGCGAAAAATAAGGAGAAAAATTACAACAATAAAATAAAACTCAATTCTTGATTTCATTTTAAAAAGTTGTAGGATAACAATTAAGGTATATCGAAAGACATATTTCAGTTATCAAAACATGTTCTGCCACATTATACTCGTCCAGTGAACATAGAAAGCTACAAGCAGTATATTCTGTTCGCCAATAACTGGCTCACAGTAACTGTTCTCGAGCCTCGTTCATTGGACCTAAGGAATATGGCTAAATGGATAATCATTAAAAAACTAGTAGTTAAACATATATTTATCATTCACCCCGTTTTCTCACTATTTTCGGATTTAACAAAATGAAAAGGCACCTACCTGTGAATGCATCCTTGAAGATCAACATATCGTTGCAAGCACACTTCACTTGTTCATAAAATTTTTACCTGAAAACGAGAAACCGGCAATCTGAACACCTTACGAGTGAATCACACAAATTCAAGCTGCGAATGACGAAGCATAACAACACTCATAAACCAATCAGACGATCACAAACTTCCGAGACAAAACACAGCACCCGACCCCTCATTTCCCCACCTTCACAACACTGATCAATTGTTTCCGACACGTCAGCACTGTCAAAGAGGAAAGACACCACTGACCTGGTCTAGTCTCACTCATCCTGCACTATTCTCATTATCAAATTCAAGCATCACCAAAACTGATTCTTTTCAATCGAATTAAACTAGCACATATAGGCAAAGACGCCATTCTTATTAACAAGAAAGCTCGCGGAAGTAGCAAATGGTATCAACAATTCTTGCAAAATAAATGGCAAAAAAGCAATATTTATTAAATCAACAAAATTCAACAAATAAGGGATGTATATAAGAAATATATGATGTACTTAATCGAAAAGTCCGAATCCCATATCTTCATCTTCTGATGATTCTTCCTTCTTGGCTTCTTCTTTCTTCGATGACTCTTCCGGCTTAACAGATTCTGCTGATGGAGCGGTAGATGCTGTTGCTACTACTGGTGCTGCAAACTTGGTTGGATCTGCTAAAAACTCCTTGATCTGAAAAGAAAATAACAGTAAGCAAGTTATGGGACGTAATACGCCAAAATACATAAAAATATGATAATTAATGAACTTGGGAAAGAAAAAAATTTGAACCTTTTCTGCCTCCTTCATCTCGATGTTAGCTTCCACAGCAATAGCTAATAGATTTTTGAATGCATTTGCTATGGAATGCGGTACTGATGCAAGCGTCGGATGACCAATAGCCAAAGACACTGCCGCGACATTTTGCACACCTTTCAAGAACTTGGCACGAATATCATCCGGTGTCATATCGAGAACTTCCGGTGCAAAAACAGTCCCATTCTCATAAACCTTTGAAAGAGCATTTTTACACATTACTGATAAAAAAGTTTCCAACCTACTAACAAATGCTGTTATTTGAAATAAACAAATAGGAAAAATGATCAAACTGCCTTCTCACAAAAACTTTCAAAGTATTATAATTCCGATTAAGTTCCACACCTGCCGCACAACAAGACCGTAAGAAAACGGCATAATGTTCAGCATATTCAAGAGAGCGGACTCAGAAGCTCCCACTTTCTCGCCAGTCTTGATTAAATGTACTTCGTTGAGAATTTCAATAGTTCCACGAGAAATCTTTGTTGGGATTTGTAAAGCTTGGAAAAAAGATGTTTTCTCCGGTCCCATACCAGTATTCTGAGGTGGTAACTTGACATCACATGGTGCAATGGCACCAGCCTTAGCAGGAGCACCCTGAAAGAACAAAATTCATCAACGACTATTCATAACAAATTCCATAAAAATTTCAGTAAAAGTACAACATATAAGATAATAGCAGAAGTCCCTTCCCATCAGTATGAAACTTTTCGTACTCTTGAACCTACTATACATTCGGAAAGTATCTCAGAATCTTACACGTCGATTTTCCAATAATTTCGCTCGAATTTCGCTCAGATCACCATTGGTAAAAACGAATCCAACGTTGCCAACAATGTGCGGTAGGAGCTTTTCGAGGTCTGGATTGGTCTGTAGATGACCACGGATTGCCTTCCGAATCATAGTGTTCTTACCCATCAAAATGTCTGCATGACCTAAATCCTAATCATTAACTTGCCAGTTCAGAAAGCTCATAATGTGCTACAATTGTGAAGGTTAAGTGATAACCTCACCTCTCATGGCTTGACGAATTTCTTGCATTTGCTTTGAGCCAACATTATCCACCCCAACAATGAAACATTTTGGATATTCTTCCAACAATTCCACAATTTTTACGAAATAATTCGCTTTCCACGTTGCTTTGTCTTCCCTGCCCATCTTCGTGAGACAAGGATCGTCCTAAGCCTCTTTTATGAACGTTTTAAAGACCTGAAATACTTTGCGAAAAATAATGAACTGATAAAAGTCTCTAAAAAAAAAAGAAGTCTCTAAAATAAATATCTAATCCTTCTGACGGAAAAGCCCAACAACAGGGCAAGCACATCCCACCTGACTACCCACCCTATTCCCAGACAACCCCACCATCGCTGTGCCTACAGATCACACACCACTATAAATGTGTAAACCCAAATTTCATTGCAGGAAGCACCGTAATCGAACAATTGTCACATGAGTAATGATGTCTATAACAGCACAAGATGGAATTGTAAACAGTAGTTTTGAATTTTTTTTTTTTTTTACAATTAAAATTTTATTTTACTCTTTTAATTGCATCCTTTTGAATCCTTTCCTTCCTAATTGGCATACTTACAATTTGCTCAATGTTATATGCAAAGAAGCATTTATTAGGGATTATATTACTAATTTAATTGTACTTTTTTTTTTTTGTTTTTTAATTTTTTTTAGACGACTACTGAATGTCAATGAATGAATGAAATTCGGAAGTAATTCCGTTCTGTTTTTTTTATCTTACGATTATTCATTGTTCAACTGATAGTCAATGATCAATCAAGAAACAGAATAGATTGCTCTCAACTTTTCATTTCTTTTGTAACACTGAAAGATTGCAAGTGAACGGAGCAATTGAGGTAAAATGAGCAAAGTACAGAATGTGATTGCTAGAATGAGAGCAGTTGGTTAGCTATTAACATGGTTCAGCTTTAACAAATATAATTATTTTTGTTTCAGAATATAGTATATTTCATAAATAAAATTTCAATAACAACTTTTAATAAGTCATTTGAGTATTATCAACAAATTTAAAACAATTTTAAGATATTTTGCATAGAAGTAAAGAAGCAAAAGAAAAAAAAATCGGTGGAGAGTTTAAGAATCGATGAATTGGAATGAAAAAATTCTACTGCTTTTTTTTTTTCTTGTGCAATCCTAGTTCCATTCTAGCTCATAATTTCAGTTTTACGGAGAAGAAGCCTATCGCTGAATTTAAATTATTTTAAATAGATATAATTATATTTTTAGAAATTATGAAAAAATGATTTTTGAAATTGTCAATGGATAAGGAAGAAAATAAT